ACAAATGCATCAGTTCTTTAACTGTCTTCCTAATTCGTTATCCAGCTCTCACACACATGTGAGGCTATTGAAAATAACATGACTTGGGTCAGGCTCATGTTAGACTTCAAAATGGCACCCTTGCCCTTTAACAGTTAAAGTTTCTGCAGCAGATTTGACCAATGCAGTACATCATTTGATTTCTTGACTGGTGCTTCCATGGGCATTGATTGTGGATCCAAGTAAAATGAAATCCTTTTAACCTTTCATCTTCTTGCCTTTTATCATGATGTTGCTTATTGGTACAGTTGTGAGGAATTTTGTTTTTTTGATGCTGAGTTGTAACACATACAGGAAGCTGTAGTCTTTGATCTTCATCCTTATGGACTTCCTAGTCTTTTTTATTTTCATCAAGCAAGGTTATGTCATCTCCATATTTTATGTTGGTAATGAGGCTTCCTCCCAACCTTATTCCAGGTTCTTCTTCTTATAGTCCAGTTTCTTGTATCATTGGATGAGCATACAGATTGAGGAACTATGGTGAAGCATGTATCCCTGACACATACTTTAATCCATGCAGTATCCCGTTATTCCGATGATTGCCTCCTGGTCTATGTACCTACCTGTTCCTCATGCTCACAATTAAGTCATTCTTCACAGTGCTGTCCATTATTTGTCATGATCCACACAGTCGATTGACCTTGCATAGTTAGTAACACACATGTAAACCTATTTCTGGTATCCTTTGCTTTCTGCCAAGATCCATATGACATATCCCTTGTTCCATACTGTATTTTGAATCTGGTTTGAATTTCTGGCAGTTCCTACCAATATAACTATTGACAACCATTTTTGAATTATCTTTAGCAAAGTATTACTTGCTTGTGATTTTAATGATATTCTTTGTTGATTTCCTCATTCTCTTAGATGACCTTTCTTTGGAATGGGCACAGATACTCATCTCCTGCCATCTATTGTCCGGGTGGCTGTCTTCCAGATTTCTTGGCCCAAATGAGTGAGTGTCTCCAGCAGTGCACCTACTTTTTGAAACTTCTCAATGGGTTTTCTGTCACTTCCTGGAATCTTGTTTTCACCACTTCCCTCAGTGCAGCTTGGACTTCAGTACCATGTTTCTTGATCATCTGCTACTTCTTAAAGTGGTTGAACATGGACCTGTGCTTTGTGGCACACTGTCTGTGTTTTCTTTCCATCTACTTTTGCTTCTTTAGCTTTCATCACTTGGAGCCGACACAGTCTGTAATCTATGACTTCATGATCAGTGCTCCCCACTTCCTCCCTACACCCAACCTACCGTTGTTGTGTTGTTGTTGTTATGTGCCATCAAGT